ATAGGATTGCGGGGTGTGGATAGGAGGAGAGGTGGTGGGGCATGGTGGGTGGTGTGCAGGACGGGAGGTGGTGGGGTGTGGAACAAGAGGAGGGGTGTGCATGGTGGGTGGAGTGCAGATGGGAGGAGGGGTGTGGTGGGTGGGGGTGCGGGACAGGAGGAGGGGTGTGAGGCGTGGCAGGTGAAGTGAAGGGTCAGCACTGCCCTGTGTTCCCAGGGTGTGGTGGTGGACACCACCTGAGCGCTCTGACCAGTGCTCACACCCTGGTGGACAGCAGCGGCAGAGCTTCAGGAGGGAGTGAGCAGGGTTCAGCTGGTCTATCTGAGCGTGGCCTGTGGTCTCTGAGGGGCTTCCCTGCCCATTTCCCCGTCCTCCTGTGCCACCACCACTCTCCCACCTCGTCCTCTCCCTCCGAGTCCACCCTTCCCACCTCCTGCAGGACCCTGTGAGAGCAGGTGGGTTCACTTGTGTTTCTTTAGGAACTACGTGTGGAAATTGCAAAACAAGAGCTGATCGTCCATGCCCGAGAGGCGGCGTCCAGGGTTCTGAGCGCCCTGAGTGGTGAGTGGCCTTGGCTGCCCCCTGCGCTGGACCTGTCCTCCCGGCTTCCGGCTGCTCAGCCCTCTCTCCCCGCAGACCGGCAGGTGTCTGAGCACGCGGCCCTGGATGCTCGGAAGCGAGAGCAGTTTCAGAGGCTCAAAGAGCAGTTTGTGCGTGACCAGGAGGTGAGTGGGCCCCCAGTACCCACAACCTGACCCGGCTCCTGTGGCCCTGGGTCACGTGTGCTGTGTGTCGTGCAGAGGCGCCTGGTGGCCAAACAGGAAGAAGCTGACGATGACTTCAGTTACGCACGTGAGCTCCGGGACCGGGAGAAGCGGCTGCAGGCCTTGGAGGAGGAGCTGGAGCGGAAGGCGAGGTGGGGGTCCTGCGAGGACCGGGTCGGGGTCCTGGGAGGATCGGGTGGGGTCCCTGTGAGGACCGGGTGGGGTGGGGGTCCTGCGAGGACCGGGTCGGGGTCCTGGGAGGATCGGGTGGGGTCCCTGTGAGGACCGGGTGGGGTGGGGGTCCTGCGAGGACTGGGTCGGGGTCCTGGGAGGACCGGGTCAGGGTCCTGCGAGGACCGGGTGGGGGTCCTGTGATCCTGCCGTCTCTGTCTCAGTGATGCTGGACTCTATCCTGAGTGTTGCGTGGAGGCCTCTGACAGGGAGGTTCCCAGTGTCCTGGAGCTCCAGTGTCCCCTTAACTATTCACTCTCCACTCCTGTTTCTGTCAGCTCATGGGCTCGGCCAGCAGCCTCCTCTCTGGCTCCCACTTGCTGGGCCCTGCCTGGTCCTGTTGGGTTCCACTGGGCGGTCAGGAGTAGTGTGTGTGCATTGACCCTGTGTTGGTGCGTCTGGTCCCTGAGTGTCTGTCGCTCTTCGTCCACTGTAGCTGTTGACGCGTTAGAGGAGTGAGGACAGTTGAGCTTTCTCAGGGACAGTTGCTGCATCCCTTGGCTCCTGTGGACGGCTGTCTTTACTGCTACTTTGATGTGTGTTTTGGATGCAGTCTGGACATTCTGGGTCTCGTGCTGTGGTCACTGTGGAAAGTTGAGGGTCGGCTCCTCTGGTTGTGTCTGTTCCTTTCTGAAGTGGACCATTGTCCGTTTAGGGATTAGAGCTGAGCCTCTGCAGAGTGCACTTTTTGGGGTGTAACCATTGGAGGTGTGGGTGTACCGTGCCTGCAGTCAGCCAGTGGCCCGGTGGGTCTTCCGCACAAATGGACCTAGGCTAGGAGTGGGCAGGGCCGAGGCCACTATGGGTGTTGCACCACCAGAACTGCCAGCAATAGCCCTCTGGGAACTTGGCCACTGCCCCACTGTTACGGTTGGCTAAGGAATGCCGTGTGGAGTGGCCAGCGGGCACTGCCTGTTCCTCTGTCAAGTACCCCCAGCAGCTCCGTCCAGTCGGGTCTAGTTCTGGCACAGCTGGGCCCACTGGCCCTTGTGTGGTGGAGAGGTAATTTGCTGCTTCCATGGATGGCTCCATCTGGACCTGTGCCTGTCACGGGCTGGTTCTTCCACCTCACGCTGGGAGGGTGACCACCGTCACATCTGTGTGTGATGGCCGTGTGTGAGGAGAGACGGAGCCTTCACTCAGGTCCTGGGACACAGGGCTAGAAGACAGGGCCCTGGCCGGGTGCCACTCAGGTCTTACAGAGCCACATGTGCCTGCACTCGTGCTGGCTGGAGAATTAGGCCGGCTCAGGCAAGGCCAGCAGCTCCCATCTCAGGAAGAGCCCTGTGTGCCTGAGGCCCCTCCACCATGCTGGCCAGTGACTGGCTGGTGCCTGCGGACACTGCCAAGCACTGGCTTATGGGCAGAGCACCTGCAGGCCGGCTGTCAGGGCGTGTGTCCTGGGCACCTGCTGCGATGGGTCAGTGGTGACGATGTCCTCGGGGCCCAGGCAGGCGCTGGTTGATCACTACAGCCGGCTGTCTGCTGAGGCGGCCCGCCGGGAACAGAAGGCGCTGTGGAGGCTGCAGAGGCGCCGGCTGGGGGAGGCACGCCGCAGTTTCCTCCTGGGAGAGCAGACACGCCTGCAGGTACTGACACAGAGACAGCATCCGCTGTTTGGGCTGCTGGGGGCACCTCAGGGGCCCTGGAGGGTGAGTCTTCAGTTTTGGCTACCCAAGCCCTCTATAGGCCCCATGTCCTGTCCTCCAGGAGCTGCTGAAAGACGCATCTGAGGGGACAAACCTGCAGCTGCTGGACAAGCGTGCCCCTGCTGAGCACCTGCCCGCAGTAGGGCCGGGACGCCCCCAGGTAAGGCTGCTCCTGGTCTGGGGCACCAGCCTTGTGTGTGCTGTCCACGGGGTGTGTGCGGACCAGGCCTGTTGCGGTGTTTGACACTGAGGTGAATGATGAGACTCTGTCTCATGTGCACTTGTGTTCCAGGCTCTGTCCTCAGGTGTGCAGCTCCCAGGTGGAGGCCAAGGCCTTGGTCCTGAACCTGCAGAAGCCTCCGGAGCCACAGTGGGGGCTGAGCCTTTCTGTGCTGGCCTGCACATCCGTGACTTCTTACCCTCAGACCTGAAGACACAACAGTCTGGGGATCCCAGCCTGGCTTTTGTGGTGGGAAAGACTGAGGGGGGTGCTCCTGTGTTTGGGGAGACTCCTCCAGGGGAGGCCCCTCTGCTGGAGCAGGCACTGTGTACTATAAGCTCAGACCTCCCTTCCTTGGCTCCAGGGGAGGTGCCCACGGTGGCCAGCAGCCAGCCATCCCAGGCACAAGAATACGACTTCAGTACCATTCTGAGGCCAGCCATGGCTGTCCCGGACTCTCCAGAATCAGTCCAGACTACAGAAGGAGAGGAGGGGCCACAGCTACAGGGGGTCACTTACAGGAAGTTGGACTCCTGGGTCCCCAAAGTGTTGGATCTTGGACTTGCTGAGGAGGGGAGCAATGGGACCCTGGACCAGCTCCTTGAGCAAACATCTGAAGGCAGTGCTTCCTCTGTGGATAATGTTCCTGAAACAGTCCCGTCCCGGCCACGCTGGAGCGTCCACGGCCACGTGTCAGAGGCCAACATCAAGGTTGGGGAGAACGTTTCAGAGGTGACCCCCTCCCGGCCACGCTGGAGTGTCCACGGCCACGT